AAATGTTATATTATTGAACCAAAAACTAAATTAAATTATAATAAAAAAAATAAATTAAAAAAATTACATAAAAAATGAAAACTTTTAAATAGTTGATTTGATATTAACAGTATATTCTTTTCCAAATTTATATTTTATTCAAAAATAAAATCATTATTGCTTTCTTAAAAACACATAATATATACTATATGACAAAACATTTGACAAAAACTCTTAAAAACCACTTTTTATGCGTAAAGTACTATTTATTAATGCATATTACTTAAGCCTCAAGAATGCAAGTAGATTGTGCATAAGTACAACTTATTAAAACTCCATATTTGAATTCATGTAAATACTACAGATGAACATAATCAAATACATGATAAATATCTCATTTTAAATATAAAATATCTAAAATATAATTAGGATAATCATTGAGTTCTAATAAAATAAAATCATTATTGTTTTCTTCAAATTTTCATGATATCTTCAAATTTATATTATATTCAAAAATAAAATCATTTGCTTTCTTAAAAACACATAAAATCGTATTATAACATCAACATAGACAAATAATAAAATAGAACATTAAAATCGAGATGTGTCTCGCTGTATTGCGCAAGTACTCTTCTAGTCAATGTTAATATCAAATCAACTATTTAAAAGTTCTCATTTTATGTAATTTCTTTAATTTATTTTTTTATTATAATTTAAGTTTAATAATGAAATAATTTATTTTTGGTTTAATATTATAAATTTTATAAAGATAATAAATAAGTATTCTGTTAGAATTCAAATATTATTCTAATTATATTTTAGATTTTTTATATTTAAAATGAGATGATTATCTTGTATTTGATTATGTTTATCTACAGTTAGTTATACGAATTCATATATGGAGTTTTAATAAGTTGTACTTACGCACAATCTACTTGTAATCTTCAATTTTAAGTAATATGTATTAATAAACAGTACTTTATGCATAAAAAGTAATTTTTAAGAATTTTTTGTCAAATACTTTATAATATAATATAGATAAACACTTACTGGATAAACAAAATTCTCTAACTCTTGAACTAATAGCATCTCCAAAGGAGGGGTTCATGAGCATGAACATTCTCTGTGTAATGGACCGCTCCATAGAAAAACTAAACCATTGTGGATATGCCTCCTATTAACTTTAATTAGTTTATTTGTTTTAATTAATTTAATTACTTTTTTTCTTTAATTGATAGATTAATTCGATTATTTTTATTAAATAAAAATGAAAATTAGTTCATCTATTATTTATAAAAATTACCAACTTCAATCCAAATTATATTTTTATTTTATACGTATATCTTTTGACTCTTTCAGTATAGATTTCAACCAGGGGCGGCCCTGGCCATGTGCAGCCCGTGCGGCCGCAAAGGACATCAAATTGTTATTTATTACTAGTTTTGAGTTTAATAATTTGAGAATTGGACAACTGAACTTTAACTATAAAAACATGCCCAATGCCTAGTAGTGATGAATACTGAATGTACATCGTTGGAAAAAGTTGGAAAGTTGAAAAAGTTTTTGTTTGTATAAAGTTGTCTATATAAATTAATCTGTTTGTATAAGTTGAATTTTTTTTGTTTTGGAGAGTTTTTTTCGCAAATGTAAGAAGCGTTTTTTTAGTTGGAAGGGACATGTTTGAAATTTTTTTTTGGCTTTCTATATAAAGCTCCCCCTGGAAGCTTACTGTATAAGTCACTTTTTATATCATTAAGCCACTACGAAACAATCATGCATAGTTGAGTGAATAAGCTGTTAGTTTCATTAAACTTATTAAGTTGCTAACAGATAAGCGTTTAGTTTTTAGTCGTTAGACCTGTAACTTTTAAGTTTTACTTTTACTATGACAACAATTTGGATGCAATTTACCATTTTAGTTAAAAACTAATTATAGTTTTCCTTGTCTTTTAAGTTTCATATATTGAAATAAAGTTTCCATTTTGCTAATTTCAATTTGAAAAAAGGAAAACTGGAAAAGAAGGAAGCATAATATTTATCAAGGATTTATCATTTTATATATTGTATTTGTGGTTTTGGTTTTTATGTCCCCTCCATCGTATTTTTTTAATTATAATTAATAAAAATCAACATAAGGATGAGATACTTAACTTGAATAGGTTATAAACTCTTTATAAAAATCGCATGTTTCGTTATCTCTTTGTTTCGTTGGCTTTAAAAAATAGGCTTAGGGACATTTTTTATTATTTTCGCACGGAGCATCAAAAATCTTAGGACCGACCCTGATTTCAACATTCCCAGTTACTATATGAATTTGTTAAATTCTGAGTTTAGTACATCATCAAATTCAAGTAGGTTTGGTAAAGCATATTTGAGAAAGGTTTATAAAAATGTGAAATAAATTTATTGTTGTTGCTTTTTAATTATTGTCAATTTTCGTGATTTTTAATTATGATAGACTTTTATTGTTATAGTTTGTAATAATTGTAGTAACAATTTTTTAACTATTATAATTTTTATTATTGTAGTTTTTTAATTATATAAAACATAGATCAGTCATTGATTGAGGATATAAGATTTTTGAAACATACAGAAAAGAAAAAACTAATATGGCAAGAGGTTCACGACTGTAGATGCCAAAGAGCATATGCAATCATAAATTTGGGTTTCTGATGAAACTAACCATGCATAATAAATAATGGGGTATTTATAAAAATAAGCGGTTTACACAACCTTTTGCCACAAAATAACCACATTTTAGAGGTTTTGCCAAAATAACCATCCGGATCTCCTCCTGGGGGGCGATCCGTACACAATGGGGGCGATTCTCTTAAAAAAAATTCTTCAAAAGTCGAAATTACTGTTCACCTTATTAACCGTGTTTGACCTCGCACCTGGGACGATCTGGATTTTTTTAACATCATTAGATACATAGAGGGACTAAAATGCAGAAATGACCATCCATTAAAAGTCAAAGGTTAAAAAAAATCTCAATCGCTTATAAAATTCAATAAAAAGAATAAAATATGTTGATATTTTGCCACTAAACTAAAGGAAGGTGATTTATCCCCTCCAACGACAAACGCAACACCTGCCTTTCAATTTTCATATACAATCTTCGTCCCCAACCAAACATCAATTAAACACAACCGCCTGACGCTAACAGGAAAACGGCCGGTTAGCCGGGAAATGAGAAGCACCGCCACTCTTCTCATTATTGCCTCCTCTGTTTCCACCCCTCCTCCGTCTTTTCCCAAGCATACACTCACTACTACTAACCCTAAACAATCAAAACCGTCGTCGTCGTCGTCTTCTTCTTCTTCTTCTTCTTCTTCCTCTCAGTCTCATCGTCCTCCTCTGCTCACTACTGTTCGATGTGGGGAAAATCGTCAGAGCTACCATCGGATAAATTACTATGCCGAACTAGCTTCAAAGCTCGCAGAAGAGGGCAGGTTCCAGGATTTGTTCATGATTGTGGAGACGGTTACAAGTGGTGGTGGTAGTTCTGGATTGAAGGCGGAGGAGTTTGTGGCATTGTTGAATGCTGATCTTGTTTCTAAGGGGATTTTGAGTGTGATTGAGAGTGATGGAGGCGTGCGGGGTGTGATCAGAGTGTTGACCTGTTTTCAGAAGTTAGGGATTGGTAGTGCATTGGAAGTGTTGCTGTCTGATAGATCTGTTGTGGAGGCGATTGGTCGCGAATGTAACCGGATTTTGAAGTTTGGTGATGCGAAGGAGGTTGTTGATTTGATGGAAACGCTCTCTAGTAAGTTTTCCTACACGCATTTTGTGATCCCCGTTCCCTTACATAAACGTTGAAGCTGAAATAGATGCTTTTAAATTAATTCAGCTATGGTTTCTATAAGGCACTGAATGTAATTATGTAAACTTATGAGATTATTTCCTTTTGAGAATTTGTCAGGTTGACACTTGACACATACCAGTAAGTTCTTTTAGATATATTTAATACAATATCTTGCTGGTGATTTGTGCAAGTGAGTCATTTGAAAACTCTGACCAAAGATTATGCCAGTTAGATGTTGTACAATGTTGGATTGTAAAATATGGCTCCATCTTGTTTACCGACCTCCATTACAAGCAAGAAATGTGTGATAGAGGCTATTTAATTAACATACACTGGTTTATTCTTATACTTTATACACTGTATATTACCATTCCAGATATAGCACTTATAATACTATAGAAATTTGAATTTCATATTAGAAATCCTAAAAAACGACATACCTCCCTTGATCACAATTGAGTTGTTTTGTGAGCTGTCCTATTTCACTATTATTTGTTTGAAGACCCTACTGACAATTTCAAGTGTGGAGCAGTTATTGTGGTAAAGCAATGACAATTTAGCTAATGAATTGTTTGAACTGCCAAACCTATTGTTGTTTTGCGAAACAAGATGTTTTATGAAACTATATGCAACTCATTTCTCCTATTCTACCCCTCCATGTGGTGCAGGATTCCATTTATCTGTTGAAGATACAGTGGAACCAATTGAGGTTATAAGAAACTGTGTCAACAAAAGGAACCCATATGTGGCCATAAGGTATGCTTTCTTTTTTAAACTCTGGGTGAAAAAGTAGTGTCCAATTAAACTTATTGGGCTTCCCTCATATGCACCCATCATGTAGTTACTCAACTGAACTAGATGGTTTTTAAGCCTTCCTACTTCTGATAATGTCTCATCTTACTATCAGTTTTAGGGGTTGTTTTCTTCTTCTTTCTATTAAGAAATATCTGGAATTAGGTGGTTGTTTATGGACAACATATACATGGTGGCTTATTCAGTTGAGCATTTCCAGCCATTGCTTAATAATTAAGCCAAAAAACAAACAGAGCTTAATGGTTGTGAGGATAAGCCAATAAGCAAAAAACAAACAGGCCCTTACTGTGGAGAATTTATTTTCCAAGCACATCGAACATCTTTGTTCTGTTCTTCAATGTTAACTAGCTCCCTTTGCAGGTATGCGAGTTTCTGTGTCTACTCAGATGAAATATTCTGTACCACAATTCTTGAATTTGGAAAGAAAGGAGATATGGCATCTGCGCTGACTGTTTTTGAAGCATCCAAACATAATCTGGGTTGCGTAAATATGTATGCTTACCGCACAATCATAGATGTATGTGGTCTTTGTTCTGACCATTTGCAATCTAGGTCCATTTATGAGGTATGATCATAATTTCCTTAAAAGTTCTGGAGTGTAATTGATAGAAAATTGTTGAGGATTATGTTGACTGCATGATTTTAGTAAAGTTCTCTCCCCTTAACCATGCTAACACATGCAAAAGTTCCGGCCTACTACCATCAAGCATGTGGTTTAAGTACTTTAGGCTACAATGATTAAGATCCTACTGAAAAGAGGGTACCACTCTAGGAGACCCTGGCCAAGGAGGTTTACTTTCCCATTTGAATAGGCTGTTTTAACCCATTTCCCCTCTATAATGTATCTGCATGTTGGCTCTATACTTTCTACACTCATAACATTTAGACTTCTCATCTTATATGTATGCTACATGATAATAACTGAAAACTAAAATAAAAACCATACATGCATAGAAGCAAAAGCCTGATTGTGTCATTAGTGGACTAGCTTGCAAGAATGTTGCCCACAGTTTTCAGTTCTTTCTACAGTATATAGTCCTCATCGAGTCATCAAAGTAAACCATGTATAGTACTCATCCAATCATCAAAATAACCATGCTAAGATTCTATGACATGCAACCACAATAGCTCTAAGTGATGGTTGTTCCACTTACAAATGGCTATTTAGATGTTAGATCACTGTTATACTTAGATAAGTGATTAATGACCTTTGACTCGAAGAGAAGTTAGGATTATTTGATTATTTAAGATTCTGTTATGAAGGAAACGCTTTTTGATTTTGAAATGGTGTATTCTAGATTGAATGAAAGAAGTGAATGTTACATATATGACCTGAATAAAAAAATTGGGTGGTCAAGTAATTGGTTTCATTTTCTTGTTGCACATGTTCCTAATTCTGTAGCATTTCACGTAGAAATACTATCATTATTCCTGTAGTGTTTCGTATATTTATGCATCAAGGTTCAAGGATGTTCTTGATTGATCATGTTGTCACTCGTATTGATTGATCATGATGTCCCTTATACTATGTTGTTTCTGCGAATTTGGTGCAGGGGTTAAGTGCTCAGAAAATCAACCCAAATCTGTATGTATTCAACAGTCTTATGAACGTAAATTCCTGCGACCTGAGCTACACGATGAATATTTACAAGCATATGCAAGTAATACTCTCTTCCTCACTCATTTTGCGAATTTTGTTCCATTTTCTGGTTCAATCTAGTCAACATATGGCAGTCAGCTTCATTTAGAAAGTTTTTTAGTTTATACTGTTACTCTTGCGAAAGAGTGGATAGTAGGTCATTGGTCCAAGAACCAGGCAATAATCCTAAATTCCTAATAATTCACTGGGAATCTGGTAGGTTGCAATGATATAGTGAAGATCACATGTATGCCATGTTATATACTCTATTGACACCCCATTTCCGATGGGGAAGACGAGCACTAATAGCAGTTATAGGAATAAAGATAGACATTTGATTATTCAATGGGCATATTAGGGTTTTAGGATTCTAGTTGATCAGGTCAAGTAGACCAATGGGAAACTGAAATCTACTATTATTGGGTAGGTATCTAGTACCATGTTTTTTTTCTTCTGGTTTGTTATTTTATTGGCAATAGTTGTAAAGGATATTGTTTCCTAGTTTCGTTGGATCTGGACTTCTAGAATATATTTAGTTAATCTATTCATTGATGTGAACCCCACCATTGTTCTCTCTTCTATTTGAGTGTTCTTTTCCGTTCCTACTCACTGATAGACCTCTCTAATTACCAGCTATCTATATCATTCTATACTTTGACTCCAGTATAATATTTGGCACTGAGCGGACGGTAGATTCATAACAGTTCCATCCCAGCATTTCTTTTAAGCAAGAAATATGAAGATTGGGTCTTTAGCTTCTTTCAATCTAACACATTAGCTAAAAAAAATGCTGTATTTGACTAATTCCATTTACTAATCAGATTCTAGGTGTTGCTCCAGATATGGCATCATATAATATCCTTTTAAAATCATGCTGTCTTGCTGCTAGAGTTGATTTGGCCCAAGAAATATACAGGGAGGTAGAGAATTTGGAATCAAGAGGATCATTGAAGTTGGATGTATTCACATACAGCACATTGATTAAGGTACCATATTCATTTTTGCATTACTTGCTACGAGTGTTACAACCTATATCCCAAAAAATCAGCCCACTTCACAATCTCTTTTGTCCCCAATCTATCTTTTATGCATTTACAAAATAATGTTCTTGCTGCCAACATTGTGATATGTGTTGTTTTTATATTTGTCATCAAATCTCAGGTATTTGCAGATGCAAGAATGTGGCAGATGGCACTAGCAATGAAAGAAAAAATGATTGAAGCTGGCGTTACTCCAAACGCCGTTACATGGTCATCGTTGATCAGTGCATGTGCCAAAGCAGGTCTGGTAGATCAAGCATTTGTATTATTTGAAGAGATGGTTCTGGCCAATTGCATGCCAAATTCACAGTGTTGCAATGTCCTCCTTTATGCGTGTGTTAAGGCTTTCCAGTATGATAGAGCCTTCCGTTTATTTCAATCCTGGAAGAGGAATTCGTTTCAGATGGCCTTTGGTGATAACTATATTGCCAATAGGCAAAGTTTGTCAAAAGGGGGCTTGCAAATTGATATGAAGGTTCCTTTCAAACCTACTACTTCGACATATAATGTACTTATGAAGGCTTGTGGCACTGATCACCTTCGTGCAAAAGCTTTAATGGATGAGATGAAGAGATTTGGCCTTTACCCTAATCATATAAGCTGGTCAACTTTGATTGGTGTTTATGGGGGCTCCGGGGATGTGAAGAGTGCTGTACAGGTAAAGAGCCGCAGTGAGGTTTTAAGTAATTTTTGGATGAGAATTGTGCTTTATCTACTGTAAGCAGAAATCTGCATTAAATTACTCTAATAACTATTTTCCCTTCAGTGCAGATTTTGGAAACCATGCGCGAGTCTGGCGTCCAGCCTGATGTTGTTGCATATACAGCAGCTATTAGGGTTCAAACCTTTCTTTCTTCTGTGAACTCTTACTTACAGGGCTTCTATTATGTGAAAAAACAGCAGCTTCTGTTATCTCCATGTTAACAAAATGCTGCATCAATCATCTTTGATCAATCTGATTCTGACTACAAGTGATTTCATCTACAGGTTTGTGTAAAACAGAGGGAATTGAACTTGGCATTTTCTTTATTTAGAGAGATGAAGAAATATCAAATACAACCAAATATGGTGAGGAATATGACTTCTGGCTATATGCTTAAACTTTGTTTCCTGCATCTACAAACTATTCTATTTTGCACCAGCTACCATGTCATGTACATAATAAATCAGTATAACAACTCTAAAGAACAAGAATAGAACCACATACTGGCAATATTATTTGATTATTAGACGTTATTAAACGAAGTATTACTGGGACCAACCTTTTGAAACAAGATATAAAACCCTTGAACTTTTGAATTTCAGGTGACATACAACACACTTCTCAGGGCACGAACCAGATATGGTTCCTTAAAAGAAGTGCAACAATGCCTATCTATATATCAGGACATGCGTAAAGCAGGGTAAGTGCTTATTTGGAGAACTTGCAAATTCTCATGCTAACTTGGGTTCAATGCTCAATTGGACTGCATGTTGTTCTACTGAAATGAATATTTTATTATTGTGTAGGTTTAAACCTAATGATTACTATCTCAAGGAACTGATAGAGGAATGGTGTGAAGGGATAATACAAGATAATAACCATCGGCCACAAGGCCAGCTAAACTCTAGCAGCCGAAGGGATTTAGGGGGACCACACAGTTTGCTTCTTGAGAAAGTTGCATCACACTTGCAAAAGGGTAATGCAGAGACGCAATCCATAGCTGTTGATCTTCGAGGGCTTACAAAGGTAACTAACAACTAACTGGAATATGATATTGTGAATTGGAGCAAAACTGGATTTCCTCCAACTAATTGATCCAAGAGAAATTGGTAGCAACTTGAGTTTTCATAATCCTTTTGTTTTGGTATGACAATGTTTAACGCAATGTATCGACAGGTTGAAGCACGCATTGTTGTCCTAGCAGTTTTGCGAATGATAAAAGAAAACTACCATCCAGGTGACAATTAAATTCTCTATTACATACTGCACGTAATACTTTGCTCTTACAGTGTGTGTATGCTGCCTTTAGGAGAACTCCTTTCCCAGAACCGAAATTCTCAAAATCCCCCAATYAAAATACAATTTTCAATGTAAGATGCACAAAGCTATTATAGCARCATTGCTCTGAAAACTTCAGCTCTTGGAAAGGGGATAGGCATCATAGCAAGTCTCGTGGGTGTCATATCTTCTCTCCATCCCAATCCCACAGAACCTGATTTCCATATCTACACCCTGCTCCATGTTCAACTTGCTTCTCTATACACACACACATGCATATATATAAATATGTATATACACACATACATATATCATAGTTGTATATTATACACACTGGATTGTGAGTTTTGATGCCCAAACATGCTTCGGTTGCAGGAGAATTGATAAGAGATGACATGTTTATAGTGTTGGGAGTCCAGGAAGTAGGTGCAGCTGCAGATAAACATCAATTTGATGTAAAAGATACAATAATCAAACTTCTACAGGGCAATCTCCGCCTCGAGGTTCTGCCATTAGGACCTAAAATCCCAACCGAGATAAGAATCAATGTGGAGAATCCCTTCAATCCACGTTCCAACTTAGATAAAAAGACATCCCCCACCAGAAGACCAGCAGTTTTGCAGAGGCTGAAGGTGACAAAAAGATCCTTGTATCATTGGTTACAGAGAAACTCAAATGAACAGAGAAGAAGGCAAGTATGGCATACCCACAATTGATGTTTTGTACATAATTAATTGAAACGTTGATTATACCATATAGTATATTGCAAAAAATGTGATTGTAACACACCTCTCTAATCCAATTTATTGAATATAAATAAAATATCACTTCCATTTTGTTCTCAGCTTACGTGTTCTTTGTGATTTTCCATATCATCCTACTTGACCTTTTGTCATAAACAAACCATTGGGTTTTGTGAGAATAAAAAAAGGACCCAAATACGATTCATTTTGCATGCATGTGTCCGTAGTTTATCTAAAATAACTCATTTTTGTGAAGTATAATGGTTTTGTTGCATTTCTTTTTGTAAGAATGCTGGTTGCTTTGTAATAATAAACCAAGCACAATGGTAGGGAAAGTTGATGACTTTTAATTTTTCTCTCTTCCCCATTACTTAGAAAAAGTGAGCCACCGATTCAGGTACAAGATACTATCATTACCGCCTGGACAATTAGACATCCAACCCGTAATCGCAACGACCCAATTGCAAGAGCGGAGCTCTACCAACTGAGCTATGCTACTACTTCTGATTCTAGGGTTTCCACGCTTGAAAAAAATAACCTGGGGCGATACGTTAGATTTTGCTTTCACATCGGCAACATCACACTCTACAAGCTCACAAACATATGAGATTTTTGAGATATTATGGAGTAGTTGATATTTCACGAGTTTTTATAGGTTTGTTTGTAATTACGTTCTAAATATGTGAAAATCAATTTGATAAAAAGGTAATTCAATTATTTTTTTAATTTGTTTTTTTAATTATTTATAAAAAATGAAATTCAACTATATTCCAAATTCCAAATCCTTCCATGAAATCTAAATCCCTCATAAACGGCTTAATGGTACTGCTATTGTTTATGTAAGCATTAACAATGTATAGCAAGTAATATGGACACATCTTGGGGCTTCCCAAAAGCACTTCATTTGTTCACTTATCGGTGAATGTGCACCATCTCATGAGCAACATGCTTTCAGTATCTCTTCTATGTCAGGATCATCACCTGCTTCCTTGTCCTGCATCAATCGATGCAAAAAAAAAATAGCATTGGTGAGAAACACTGGAATATATTTGAGGATCATAACAAGTTCTTCATCCAACAAAACCAACATGGTGGTCAGTGTTAAAAAAGGCACGCCCTAACGCACACAAGATGCGTCTCCGCCATTATGAAATGACCCATAACGTTTCTGTAAAGCGTGGCTCATGTCATGGCACTCTGAGGCGCACATTTTTTGTAAGACGTAATTTTTTTTCAATTTTTTTTATCTTTTGTGTTTTTACATTTTTAGTTTTAAATTTTACACGTTTATAGATTTATATAATCACATCACTCACAGATTCACGAATTCATAAACATTATGGGCTCACGATTAAAACGAAGTTGTAATATTATTTTTATAAGTTATATTCTAACTATGTAATCAAAAACTATTTTTATCATAATAGTCTAGATGGTTTTTCTTCTAATATAAACGTACATTTTTAATATCATTATTTGGAGATAATATATAGAAAACATAAATGTAAATACATAATTCTATATATGACATGCAAATTTGCCGCCTTATGTCCTCGCCGTTGGGTGTAAGGCTTAAGACTTGGGGCTTGACCTGGCCGCCATGCCCTACGCCATTTTGAACCTTGATGGTGGTCATGAAAATTATGGCAATTGAGCCCTTCATTTCTAGGTTTGAATGCACCAAAGATGAGGGTATCAAATTCAACTAAATTCAGTTATGCAATCGAGGTTCAGGTGCACTGGTCATTGGTGCATTCAGAGTTTCAGACTTTGACTCAGGTATGTGAGTCAGGTTTGGGTGCACACCAGATGAGGGTGTCAACCTTCACTAAAAGGATCTAGAAATAAGTTCTCCAAACTGCAGAAATTGCATGGTGCATGAAATAGATAAGATAGGATTAGATGAAGGCAAGTGCAAAAGATCACAAGGGGGACTCACTTTGTGGATGTATGAGATGTTGCTTATCCCTGGACCTGCAACCATGATTCCACCTTGTTGCCTGACAAAATAACCATCTTTCTATTACACAAAATTTACTCTACCTAGACAAGTTAGATTTAACAAATTTCCCAACAGTTTTTTTAATTTGAAGAACAGTCTGTTCGATCTAAAAAGTCAACATGCATGCTTCTTTTGTGAGCGGAGAAAGTAACTCTTTCACAAAGATGTGATCACCGTTACAAAGCAACTAAGGAAGTATGTATAGTATACGTACCAACCACCTTTTGTACGGGTATCTTTTTCAAAGGAAATCTCCCAATCTTGTCGATAACCTTCCATGTATGCTTCTATAATTTTCAAAGCTGCCTGTATTTATCATACGATTCACAAAGATGAAAACTTATAAGCCCATAAAATTTGAGTGAGTAGGCAACCTCATTCAAGCAATTGGCCAAACATACCCCAGGTGTAAACGTAGTTGTAACTCCTGAAACAAAGCTCAATGCCTTGTATGATGCATAACTAGGATCTGCATATACTTCTGTAACAAGCAGCAAGAGAGATATGACATTGTGCTATAAATGGCGCAGCGAGGATTTTTATATGTTACAAGTGTAATATGATTGAACTATGACGATTGATCTTCTCAAATTTGTAGTTGCATACGAGAGTTCTGTTTTGACAAAACCAAATCAAACCCAATACAGAGTAAGGTCCGGAGGTAGAACATTCGCATACCTTACCTCTACCCCAAGAGGTAGAGAGGCTGATGTTTCCGTGAAGACCCCTGACTTGCTAAAAAAATGTGGAAAATACATACCTCCTTTGAAACTTGTTTGCTCAGAGAATGCTCTTGCCTGAACAAGATTAAAAGAAACAGAACCATTTATTACATAAAGGAAAAAAGAATAATCATAAATGCATTGTAAAGAAACTTTTACGCTAACGCCTCTTAAATAACAAGTGTTTCATTGGATTTATCATTTGATAGTAAATTATAAAACATTTTTCATGATCTCAGAGTTGTATACAGACAACAGGGATACATCCACACCTGATCAACACTACCGGGCCCAATCAAGACAAGCGCTACACCTGAAGCATCCATTCTATCCTGATAAACAAAAGTCCAACAATGTCATTGCTCCAACACTCGAAGTCATACAACCAGTTAAATTTGGTATTGACTGTGTGAGAATATGTGGAACAACCTCATTACATTACTCTCCAAGAGAGCCCTTAAGCAGAGAAGGGAGGTTCCAACATTCATTCAGTAGAAATGGTCCAACAAAGTAAACGGGGAATTAATCTTCTATCATATCATTGGAAATTCAATCATCCAACACTTATTTGAAGGGAAATTGCGGAAATCATGCATGGCCATCATAGCTAGAAGAAAGGTGTTAGATTCTGGTTTGTAGAAACTGCATACCTTCTTAGCAGCAAGCTTATCAGCTCGTGTGCGACAAAGGACACATCTGCAGTTTCAACATGCAAAACATTAAAGCCGTTCCAACATTCATCATCATATAACAGTCTTCATATATGCATATTATTTATATTTTTATTGATAAGATCAAAGCTTCTGCAATGATCCAGGTAGGAATAACATGAGAGCAAGTATAACAGAACCATCAAATTTGAGTAATCGGCTTCTTGAACCATTGAATACCAAATATTTCCAATAAAGATGGTTCTTTAGGCATTTGAATTTCCATAATTTGGCTAGATTCACTACAAACTGATGTTTGTAAGTGTAAGATGAAAATTCATGTACATAATCCATCGATCAAATTTCACAAAAACAACAAACAAGATCACTGTCTTCATCACTTCTGGTGTGTTTACCAGTGTGATACAGAAAGTCATACCATCGATTTTTCAGAAAATGGTTCAGTAAGCAAATGATTACCAATATGTTCCACCCTCATGCGGTGATGCCCTTGTGCATATGACTTATATTTGCACTTCGATTTCCCGAACACTACGACAAAACCCTAAATTCTATAAGATGAGATGCATACCCGAAATGACGAGCAAATGCAACAACAGCTTTTCGATCCTTCCATAAATCAGAAATCGTCATTGAATTCCCATTCAAATCAAACACCTCTACTCTCTCCAACAAAGTACCCGTTTCTTCACTGATTCCAATCGAAGATTGAGAAGTTCCTGCTGCCAAATTCATATACATTAAAATTGATCGTAATGAGTATGTGAATACTTATACAAGGGAGAGGAATAAAACTTGCCGGTGGAGCTGGAGGCGGCGGAGACAGGACGGCGGGCATTTGACGAAGAAATGAGGATGGTTTTGTCGGCGGTGGCAGAGTGAGAGAGAGCAAGACTATAACTGCCAGTAGTAAAATTTTGTAGGGAATTATAATGTGAAAACAGATAAGAACGAGTGACCGGAGAGACGGTTGAGAGAGTAATCGCCATTTTTTTGTCTGAATCTTCTCGTCGCCGGAAACGGCAATTAACTGGACCCCTTGAAGGTTCGTTGATTTTGGTGGCAAATATTATTACACGTGGCCGTATGCTTACTCTTACATATTTTCCGAATTTTGTGGCATTAATACAAAAAATTTAAAGATTTCGTTCACCAAACGCTTGTTCGGGTAACTGCTTACCAAATGATATTAATTTACTGGATGAATATGATTAGGATCAAGAATCTTACCTGATAAGAGTAGGACAAGATCCAAAAGTCTTACCTGGTAAATGAGGGCGACGACTTTTACCATGGTAAGCGTTTACCGGGTAAATTGTTGCATACGATGTTATTTTATTGGACTAAAATCTTACGCGATAAATAAATAATAGTATTAAAATTTACCGGTAAGTACTCGTTGGATAAATGTTTGGTAAACGGTCCCTTGATCTCGACTATATATTGCAATATTTTAACAGCATCTTATAAAAATTCATTTTACCAGTTTTCATCTCTACCGCAGAGATCACCGTTTACCACCAATGCTGTTTTCGGAATCGAGTCTCAACACCACCAACGTTCTAATTCATCGAATCCTCCACCGCCGTTAAGAGATGATCCTAAGGGTTCTAGAAATTTCCAGTGGATGTTCTAGGCTGTCCCGGCGTCAGAAAAGGAACATATGCAAGCCGACTCTCGGATCTCCTCGGTGTTCCTCACATCGCCACCGGTGATCTCGTCCGTGAATAGTTATCTTCCTGTGGATATTCATATCGATCTAATTGCCACAATTTACGTTTTGGAAGGTCTTAATTAATCTCAAAACATAGTTATTCAGAATCACAAGATGAAATTGTTTATCTCTCAGTTTCAAACGTCGAATTTGTTCGAGTTTTTTTTGCATTTGCTTATACATAATTTGATCAAAGTCGTCTATAGTTTGGTGGTGAACCTGAAACTGAGAGAAGATGTATTGGCTGAGAAATGTTTGGAACGAAGGATATGCAGTCAATGTGGCATCCATCAACGCAAACGTAGAGACTGGGCATCTAGCAATCACCATGGCTCCACTTCTTCCACCTCCACAGTGTGCTTCAAAGCTCATTACTCGACCTGATGACACCGAACCTGTAATCGAAGAACGGATTCGTGTCTATAAGGAAAAGGTAAATGCTTTTTGGGCTTTCCCGCTATATATAAACTTCTAAAAATACCCTTTTGTTCAATATAAAGAACTTTCCTGCACCAAAGTTAATACCATAATCTATTATGTGTTCTGTTCTGATACTACTACTTTTGGTTCAAATTACAGGGGAGGATTATTACATAAATGAAGGGTAGTCAATGGAGTTTGATCTTGTTGGAGGGGTCGGTTAGCAATCGTTAAAAGGAACAAATCAGTCTTTCGACAACAAGGACCGAAAGTATAATTTACTCCGAAATTAAATTTGATTCACTTCTTTTTTCTTTATTAAAAATATTTTTAAATACGGTTAACAATTTCTTTTCTGATTATCATATTAATTTTACTATTGTAACTTCAGGGCCGTCCCTGGGGGAGGGCAACACGGGCGTACGCCCGGGGCCCAAAAATACCAAGAGGCCCAATTTTTCCCCTTAAAATACAATAGTAGTATAAAAGAATTTAATAAATTAAAAAAAACCTAAAAGATTGTAGCATATAATAAGGAGCAAAAAGAATTTAGTAGATAATAAGCGCACAAAAATATATCAATTAATTACATTCGAAAATAAAATAAAAAAATTAGTTGGTCATTTATTATATGTTATTGTTTATTGTCTCTCTAATTTTTTTTATCTCCAATAAGGTCCAATGATATTGGTTATTGTTATCTCTATATATTTGACCGTTTTTGTGCTTCAACAATTCAACTTTAAGATCATGTGCTTGCTATTGCTATATATTTTTGTTGGATATTTTTATCGATTTCTGTTTCTATTGATTATTGTTATTTGGTTATTTTGTTCTAATTGTTTTTGTTGACTATTGTTATCTATTTTTGTTTCTATATAAAATATTTTACCATTGTTTGACAATCAATCTATTGTTCTTATAATTTATGACGTGTTTCATGGTTTTGTGATTAATGAATAAATTTTTTCTACTATATGTATTTAGTATTGTCTCTTATATATGTCATGTTCCATAAACTTTTAATCTTAACATCTTATTTTAGTTGAACAAAGAAAGAAGTAAAATAGAATTTAGATATTTTCATCAATTGTTTGACTTATGTATCTTTCATTGGGATTCCATCACATCACAAGATTCTATTTAAGTGCTCAAATAATCATTTGTTGAACTTGCATATTATATGTTCAATTCATTATTTATTCTTATTGGATCTCAATGAATCATCTTTTCTTTCATATTTTTATTGGTCCTCATTTGTCTACTTGTATAGAAAACATTGATAATCTTATTTATTATTGATGTCTCATTGATCCTCATGATTACTTCATTCACACGAATTCTATTTTTGTATCAAAATAACACATATTTCTTGTTATTAAGATTTCTTTCCTCACTAAATTATTAACATTTATTGTGCTCAATTTTATACTAATGAAAAAAAATTATTGAATTTTTTTCCGTACGCACCGAGGGTCACTACAAGAAAAGTGAACTCTGACGATGCACTTTTTAGAGATGACATGTTTCCGCTACAAGTTATCGCATGTCGTTGTTATATACTCTTTCTGATTATAAATGAACTTTTTGCGACGACAAAAGTCGTTGCCTTATTTCTTGCAGTGGGCCCTGTTTTTACGTTCGCCCAGGGCCTAAAAACTGTCAGGAACGGGCATGTGTAACTTATTTACAACTTTTTAATAATTCAATTTAATAATGTTATGTAACTTTTTTATTCTTTTCAAAACATAAGCTTTTTTTATCTTAACGAACAAATTTTAATATACTAGAAGGGTACTCGTGCAATGCACTGAGACATATTTTCATTTCAATGTTTCGTTTAATTTTTTATCCATATCGACGTAATACGATTTTATGTGGTTTTGAGAAAATGATAATGTTTTTATTTTTTAATAAAATATAAATTTAAAAAATATATCAATATTAGTATCAAATTAACTATTTAAAATTTTTTGTTTGTGTTTTTTTGTTAATTCAAATTTTTTATTATACTTTAATTTAACGTAACGAAGTAACTTAATTTAGGTTTAATAATATATTTTTTATAAAAAAAATAATTACGTATTATGTTAGAACTCAATAATTATCTTAATTATATTTTAGATTTTTTATATTCTAAAATGAGATGTTTATCCTCTATTTGATTATATTTATCCGCATTTAGTTACACGAATTCAAACATAGAGCTTTAATAAGTTGTACGTATGCACAATTTACTTGTAATCTTGAATGTTAAGTAATATGCTTCAATAAACAGTACTTCATGCATAAAAATGGTTTTTAAGAGTTTTTGTCAAATGTTTTATAATATAGTATAGATAACGTAATTTAAGTTTAATAATGAAACAATTTATGTTGGTTTAATAATATAACATTTTATAAAGATAATAATTAAGTATTCTGTTAGAACTCAATGATTATCTTAATTATATTTTAGATTTTTTATATTTAAAATGAGATGTTTATCCTGTATTGATTATGTTTATTTGCAGTTAGTTACACGAATTCAGATATGGAGCTTTAATAAGTTGTACTTACGCACAATCTACTTGTAATCTTGAGTTTTAAGTAATATGCATTAATAAACAATATTTTATGCATAAAATTGGTTTTTAAGAATTTTTCCCAAATGTTTTATAATATAGTATAGATAATTATCTCACGTTAACTGTGCTTAAAATAATTTTAATAAAGATTTTAAAAAAAAAAATATGTGAATCAAAATTAATTTTAGAGTTAATCATATATTTGGTCCCTATAGTTTGTCTAAACACTAATTTGTCCATTCTAACTGTTGTTGCTAACTGATGATGCTAACTATAGGGATCCTTGAGAGTTACTAAATTGAAAAATTAAAGGATCATCAAGGCATGAAGTGTGATATATTGTTTTACAGTTTTAGGGACCAAATCCAAAATTTGAGTATACCACAAGGACCACCAGTGTAATTCATTATATCCCTTTTTCTTTCCAAAATTTCACAATAATTTTATTTATATTATATTATAAAGCATTTAATAAAAAATCTTAAAAACTATTTTTTATACATGAATTATTATTTATTGATGCATATTACTTAAAGGGCAAAATGCACAAAATAGCAATCTACTTTCATAAATTTCTTTATTATAGCAATGTACTTTCAGTTTTTCTTATTACAGCAATGTATCATCAAATTATTTTTTATTAGGACATTGTACTTTGAAAAATTTACCCATTATAACATTGGGTAACCTTTTGATTTAAATTTACCCATTATACTAGGTTTCCATGCCACCTCATTGTTCATGTAGGCTGTCCACATATACTATAGTGATGTGACTTTCTTACTACATCATTGTACTTTTAAAATTATTTTATTATGGCATCTACTAGTTCTTATTAAACACTGTATTTTTAATTTTAATATTTAGATATGTTACATGTTATTTAATAAATGTATTAAATGAATTAAAAAAATTCTAAATTATTCATTAATATATCAATATCAATAAAACTAGTATAACACAACTTATCTCGCTAACATTTTAAAAAAATATGTGTTTTTTGAAAGAAGGAAAATAAGAATTGTTTCCTTTTTTACCCAAAAATATTATTTTTTTAAAGAATATATTATATTTGTTCAAAAACTTTTTACTTGACGAATAAATATATTAAATTAATTAGACTTTTTTGAATTATTTATTAATATAAC